GTCTACCGTTTTCTCCAGGCAAAAATTTTCATTTGAGGCAATTCGGGATAAGATTTTTAGACTAACCGCTTGCAACCTCCTTGAAACAATTATTCTTTGGTTTTATACTATTTTTTAGGATCTTGAGGAAGTTACGGTATTGATCAAAAAATCAAACATACTTGTGGGACTCCAATATTCAGTAATGCAGCAAGGCGTACACGTTCACTGCCTACTAAGTACTGCTGGCGAGCAAAGGCATCTTCAAGAATTCGCAGCTGTGACTGCGAGAACGTAGTTCGTTGTCGTTTACGTGGATCTAAAATAGCACTAGAAGATCCATAAGTCATAATCATCGCAAATTTATGAGTCAAAAAAGGTCAATTTTTGGCAGATTTTGATGTTTTTGGATTTACCTTGAGATAGCCCCCAAGAAATGACACATTAATGTCGCGACGCAACCGCTGTGTAACCGCACGCATCAACCTGCGGTGCGTTTGCAAAGGAAGCGGCAGTGAATCAGGACAAATAAAAGGTCCAGCCAGCAGGCATCAGATGATATGAATTATCTGAAATGCTCACCTTTCTTGTTGTCCTGCCGAATTCTTTCAAATTCGGCAACCTGTAGCATTTTCTGACTAACAGCGTCTTCAGAAGATGGGCCAGAAGACGTGGTGCAATCACCAACGTCCATTTTAGAGGTAACGGATGAAGAGGGCCCGTTAAGGCCACCCACATCGCTGACAGGTTATTCGAGCCAAAGAAAGCGGACATCGACATACTCCGTTTTTTGAATAACACTATTGTTAGCGCATATCATTAAAGGCAATTGACGCTACCATACATACCGCACATACACAAGAGACGAGACGATGACCCTCAGATCTACGCCAGGTCTTTCTACTCTGCGCACTTTAATAGCCATTCATTATGAAAATACCAATACCTGCAGAGATATACCAGTTGTAAAGAAACAATAAAATACAAATTTAGTTCAGTTGAGAGCACATGACTATAAGTTCTAAATATTCTATAATCAAGAAATTAGAAGTTAATTTTTAAAACAGTTGTCCAACCAACTTATGAGCATAAGAATATCTTTTCACACAACTTTATTTGCGATAGTATAACGTTCTTTTTTTAAGAAATCGTATCTTCCTCCCGGCACTTCGAATGCAGTCATCACCTATCATTTGAGTCTGTCACATCTAAAGATGTTACCTAAGGTGCTAACAGGCTCTCTAGATGCAAAGAGCTACCTTTATTTACATAGCAACGTTAACGCATACCCAACGACTTATTGATTACTTGCATTTTTATCTCTTTAAAGAAAATCCTTTCTTTCTTTGTGATGTAAGGTGCTTACTTATTTGTTGACTTGGTTTCAAACAGTTTTAAGTTGTACAAATTTGTTCTTGGGATAATTGACATAAATTACAAAATCCACATTTTCGTTCTGCGTTTGGAACGGGTCTATAAATGATTCTTTTCTGATTAAACATTGATCACAAGGAGTATTAATCACATTATCCTCTTTAATTGGGTTGTTAAGAGATTTGAGATATAATTTAGTTAAAGAAACAAATTTCTTTAGATTAATGTAACCCTAAACATCTTAGACACGAGATAAGGGTTAAAGAAATAATTTTGCTCTTATGCTCTCTTTGAAAGGACGAACTTAAGGAACTAAATCTTGAACTTATAGTCCAAATACAAATATCTATAAATAGCTTATATCTTATCATATAACATCAAGTACTCACAGTTCATACACACTTTATCATATGGTTTAAGGTAAAGGTTATTTTACAATGCTTGATGTTTGAGCAGCAGTATTATACTCCTCTCGTAAAACGGATCGACTTGTTGTACTTCCGATTGAGTCAAAGTATTTCGAACTGTTTTGGTGTTTATTCAAACCGTTACGTGTGTTTACTCATCATTTCTCAAAAATCTAATGTTTACCTACAAGTAGCCTGATTCCTTGCCTCTTTCCGCTGAACTGCTTTAAAAGTTAGTTTACTCTCAAGTTATGTTTGCACGATAGCTTATAGATTGTTTGTTGTCAACCGCTTAAGTTTAGTTTGCAGTTAGCATTGGTTAACTTTTAGCTAGGCACTTGAATCTATTCACTGTTCATCGCTTACTTAACTGCTTAAACCTTTATCAAATTGTAATTACCTGATATCAAGCTAATTATTAACTATCTCACCTCCATCCCGAGTGCAAATTCTAAAGCACAGTATCAGAGCCAGACTGTTTCCCTCGTTCAAGGACCTACCAAGGTCGTCTATGTTTAATCATAGTCTATTATTTTGTATTTATTTTAGTCTATTATTCATTTATTTGTCTATTTTCTATTATTTATATATTTTTATTCTGCACCCTGAAAGAAAGTTATTTTAGATTATTTATTTATTTATTTATCATACACGTAAACTGCGCTAGAGTGTAGATGAAGGGG